TGGGGAAAAGTAAATAAAATAAATAAGAGTCATTAAATAAATTGAGTTGAGATCAACTCATCATAGTCGTTTAACAAAAATATGGAAAAATTACTTTCAATATCATTGAACTTTGTCCGTTGACTTGTTTAAGTCAATAAATTTTTAGTTTTGACAATTGTAGTAGTAAATTTTAGCTTTAAATTCAATTGTAGCATTCTGCCGTTAAATTAATAATATAACAATGATATGCTAACTATTGCTGACGTGACACGTCACACCAAAATGACGACATTTTGGTATGATTGTTCTAATACCTAAAATGATGTCGTTTTATACATTGAACTTTAGGAGTGTGTTGATTGTTTTTCATTGAACTTTTAAACAATTTTCTTTTTTAGTACTACACTTTTTGATTGTCGTCGGTAGCCAAACACTGCTCATCATTGGTTATATTTTGCTTTAAAATTGGTATCAAAACGTTCGTATTTCACCACTCTTTCGTCTCCTAGGATTAATTTTCTATGAAACCCACTCAAAGTCGACAAAAATCTACTTAAAAATTCAATATATTAATATTATGATCTCTTCCAAGGACCTTCTGATGAGGTTAATTTGAGGTATGTTGTTCGTCTTCGCGAAATAATATTTTTCATTGTTCAAATTTTCAAACAATCAGCTCAAATCAAGTAAATCTAAGAAAACCTATAATCATCTAAAAATGATAGATTTGTTTTGTTTAATTTAGTCAATTTTGAGTGGGTTTCATGAAAAACTAATTATATGAGAAGAATGTGGAGTGAAATGTGAATATTTTGGTACTAATTTTTTCACGAAAGACGATCGATGAGGGGTACTGATTGACTGCTAGCGACAAGCAAAAATGTAGTACCAAAAAGTAAATTGTTTAAACATTCTGTGGCAAAATCTATACACCTTTAAAGTTCCATGTCTAAAATGACGTTATTTTAGGCATCATAATAATTGTACCAAAACAACGCCCTTTTAATGTGATATGTCACATCAACAACCATTAGTTATGTCATCGTTTTGTTAGTAACTTAACAACGAAATGACACAACTGAATATAAAACTAAAATTTAGTGTTATAATTGATAAAAGTGAAAGTTTAGTAGTATAACTGATTTAACGAAAAAGTTAAGTGGTATCTAAATTAATTTTTCCAAAAAATATTTATGTTATAATATTTGAAGTAGGGTTGGGCACGGGACCCAAACCCAACCCGATCGGGTTGGGTTTTTTAAAAAATATTATTGTTCGGGTCAGGTTTAGGGTGAAAAATATCTTACCCGACCCGATCAGAAAAAATATAAGTTTATCTTATAATTTAGGAATAATTACAATAATATCCCTCTATATATAATTTTTTTTCAATTAAATCACTATTTTTATTGAATAAAAATAATATTTTTATTATTATTTCAGGTCGGGTCGGGTCGAGTTTCTAAGTTATATGTCAGGTCTAATTCGGGTCGGGTGAAATTTTATTTTGATCGGGTCGAGTCGGATGGACCAAAAACCCGACCCGACCCGACCCAACCCATGTCCATCCCTAATTTAAAGTGAACAAAATTAAAATCTTCTATCGACATTGTCCTCACCCTCACGGCGTGATTGAGATGACCAAAATACTATTTACCGCATCAGTTTATTATGGTTTAACTCTCTCAAAAATGACCGAATGATACTCTTAATAATTATCATTGTATGGTTATCCACTTTACTTGAAATGCTGAAGGCATCCCTTTGAATACCTAGACCTTCCTTTCATGGCCTCCTTTTTAAGAGTAGAACCATTTGATTCATCAAGCTAACCAACAAACTCCAATTGGCGTGATTCATCCGATCTGACAACTCAAAAATAATACTCCTTCTGTCTTCTACTGTTGACTTTTTGGTTGACTTTTTTTAACATTGACTCATCATTATTTAAAAATTATTATTGATATATATATTAAAAATCTTAAATCAAGTAGTTTTTAAATATATATTTTATAAAATTTAATTGTTTAAAATATTTAAAATAAGCATGGTCAAAGTTTAAAATTTTTTACTTTTGAAAGTTAATAATGGACACATTTAGTGGGACATAGGGAATATAAAAATTCTGAGATGAGACTTTTCGAATAAATTTCAAGAAGATCCATATCTCATTTTAGTTTATCGAGGATGTTCGTGGGAATGTATTTTGATTCCGTCAAAAGAAGGGATTTATAAAATATTGAAGGATACTTACAGACGAATTCGATGGGGCGAAAAAGATTTTGAGTCAAATTTTATGCCGATAGATTATAAAGATGGAAAGAGACTTTGCTGACTCTCATTTAATGAGATTTGTTATGTTTAAGAGAGATTAAAGAGTGACGATGGTAAGAAGAAAATAACAATAACTAAAATTAAAAAAAGAAGAAATTGAACTATTCTAAAATTGCGAAACATGAAGCCTGTTTTATTGCTTGCTTCTTTTGATTCCTCTTTCGTTTACGTTTGATTTACGATGGATTTGGGTTTGATATGTTGAGGATATACTTAGGTCTATTCTTAAAAGTGTAAGGAGGAAACAAAAGCATTAATTAAACTCTATATTCACAAAGTTTTTTTTAGTGTTTTCGATTAAACAAATATCAAATTCACGTTCAAGAGTGTAAAGCAAATTTTGTAAAAAAGTGTATATAATTCATCAGTCGCTGTCAACGACAATCAATAGTGTTCGATTGTGACAAATGATGATCAAAATTTAGAAAGATGGAGAAAACTAAGAGGAAGAAGGAAAAAAGGGAAAACAGAAGAAATTTGAGGAAATTTTGAGTTTTATATGGATCTAAAACGTCGTTTTGGTATGAATTTAATTTTTTTCTTCAAAATGATGAAGCTTTGGTGATGTTTGTCATGTCATAGTGTCGTTAACTATTTAAGGATAAAGTGACTAAAATGAGAGCAATTAAAGATTAGGTGATTAAATTAAAAAAGTTTAAACTTTTTATGATAAAAATAAGAATGAAAGTAGAGTGATGAAATTTATAACTTAACCCAAAATTCTATATAAAAAAATAAAAGAAAAAAGAATGAGAGACAATAGGTAGAGAAGAATGAAAAGAAATTGCATGATCGGTCCCCCAACACAAGCACTACAGGACAAGAAAATTAAAATAAAAAAGAAAACAACATAGCTTTCGTTCTAAGCCATTTTCTTTCCTCCATTCCAAAAGGAATCTAAAATCCAAAGCTTTAACAACAATTTAAAAAAAAAACTTAAAAGAGAAAAAAGTGACAAGTCTACGAGATTACCAAAGAGAAGATCAGAGAATATCTAAGGTACGACAGTTTTAATATATGGATAAAAAAATATACTACAGTAAAACTCAAACCAGGTATTTTATTCACTCATCATTAATAAATTATTTAAATAGGTACACTACAGTTGGTCATTAGCGTGCATTGAACTATAAACTATAGGAAAACTCAAATCCTCTTAGGAATTATGAGACGCCAGGTGGGAAGTCAATATGATGTTTGGACATCAGTTTTCTATTTATGTTGGGGATATTGTTTGCAAACTTATCTTGGTGGTTATAGAAATCGTTATTATTTTAGAGGTTACGGGTTCGAGTACCAATGATTGTATAAAATAATATTTGTTCTAAATACTTTTAATCATTTAACAATGAACGTGGTAAGTTAGTTCATTCTGGTACCTCATTTTCTTATAGTTCTATTTTATCATTTTTTTTTCTTCTAAATCATAAGTCAGGACTAATGTTACATTTTATTTTCTATTTTTCTATCTTTCTTTTGTAATTAGCCGTTGCCATATATATATATATATATAACCATCGATATTCAATTTATTAATAGATTAATATAAATTGGGAACCATAGAGGTGAAGATAACAATACTATATAAAAATCATCAAAATTAATATTTAATTTAAATTTATCACCTTCTTAAAATTAAATTATTTTTCATTCTATTCAACAATAAAAATTAATTAAATAAAGTTTATACTAAATTAAATTTGATTTTTATAAATATTACATGTTAATGAATTCCTAATTTAACTTAAAAGGTTAAGCATAATACTCTTAGTTGTTAAGGGTGAGCAAAACTCAACTTAACTCGAAAAATTGATTTTCTTCAATTTTGAGTTATTCGATTCAACTCGAATTTTCAATTCGAGTTTTGAGTTCGAGTCAAGTTAAAATTTGAGAATTTCGAATCACTCAAAAAATTGAAAATTTGGATGAATGTTTTGACAATTTTACGATTTAGTCCATGATTTTCTTATTTATTCAATTTTGCCTTTATTTTTGAGTCTATTTTTTTTTATCACATTTGAACTACATGCTTCTAAACCATCATAGAATACCTATGTACTTTCAATTACTCTTTTTGATAACAAGTTTTCTATTTTTCAATTTAATCATTCAACTTTTTTATGATTTCTTTATTTCTTTAATTCATCCTTCATTTTAAGTATATTTTGACCAAATTTGAATCATATGCTCCTATATCACTATAAAATACCTATGTAACTTAAATTCTTATTTTTTTTAATAAATATGTACTCTTTTTAATTTAGTCTATTAACTTTATATTTTATTCAATTTGATCTTTTGACCGTAATTGATTGTAAATTCTTTTTTCTCATAAATTCTTTTACTCATTTATATTCTTATTAATACTTTACCCTCAATATACATTCTTTAAAATATATTTTATAATTTTAGATTGTATTTGATACAATAAATAATATTATGATGTGAAGAGAATATGAAATTATATATATAGAGAGAGAGAATTAGCCTCTTTCATTTTTTTTCTTTTTGTCTCGATTCAATCGAATATTCACCCTTACTTGGTGTACAAAAGGTCCATTGATTCGAATAAAATGCTATATATAAACATAATTACCCTCTTTCATTTTTTTCTTTTTGGCTGGAAGGTCGGCTACAATTTTATATAAGAGGGGGAGATAAAATTGTAAGAAGGAAAATGGCTGTTGTCTTTCTCCTACCGAGAAAGCCTATCTCTGTATCATTTTATTCCCCCCACTGGTTTCGTTTTTATTAATTTTGAAGATCTATTTGCATCCGTTTGGTTTCTAATTCCACTTTTTTCCTCTTCCGATTTTGAAGATCCAGTTGGCCCTTCTCTTTCTCTTCTTCCGTTCAGCTAATTCCGGTGCTTCTCTCTCTTTCCATTAATTTATATTTAGGTTTGCATATTTATGTGTTTCCTTGCTCTAAATTCCTAATTGATCTTCTTGGATCCATTCAGTTTCTCTCTCTCTCGCTCTCTCTCTAAATATGTTGATTGGAATATTTAGGGCATCTGTTCTTTTAATTTCTGTTGTTTGGATGCTCAGAAAATAGTACTGTAGTTTGAGATTAATTTAATTTAATCCTTGCTAGTACTTCCAAATCAATGATTAATCATGAAAGATTTGAATCAACTTCGACTTTGATTTTTCGTTAGATTCTTGTGATCTTTAGTTTTTTTCTTCCCCCCCCCCCCCGCCCCCCTAAATTGATTATTATGTATTGGGACTTGGGAGATCTAATACTTTTGACACTTTGATTTAACATTTAGATGAATGTTTTCTGGTTGTCGAATTTCATCTTAAAAAAAGAAAGACTAATTTTATTCGTTGCACTAATGAGGATGTTTTGCAATTGTTGATACTAGTTAGGATTTAGGAATTTCCTAAAGTATACTTATTATTATTAAAAGTAGAAAGATTTAGGGACTTATTTTTTTTTAAATGAACCGCTGGAACCTAGAAAAGATCACCTTAATGCATATACTTATTACAGCTATAAAGATTTTAGGGATTTCTAATCAACCTGCCTGAAATTGAAGAGTACTGTTACCGTAAGTTTTGAAGACCTGTAATTCTATTGCAGCTCAATGTTAAATAATAATATTACTAAGATTACAGTTATAGTATCTGAATGATGCAATACTGATTTAGGGGTATTTTTAATCGATTATCGACCTGCTTGAAAAAAAAACTATAAATGGTAAGATTAATTTCATAGTGTTTAAATGATGAAAATCCATTTTTTACCATTGTACATGGTGAATACTAGAAAAGGAGAAAAGCGACCCAACAATAATAAATAAGTTTACCATGCTAGATTCATATATACACATTTATTCAAATCTAGTCAAATATGATTTCATTTGTTATTAGCTGCTTTTCCTTAACTTTTGAGACAGAAAACCTGTAATATGCTTGAAATAATAACAAAGCATCAGACTACTGGAGCTTAATTGATGATCTTTTTGTTCATGTTATTTGACCAGCGTAATCGTTGCAATGGGGAAGAAAAAGCAAGAGGAGAGTGGTTCTACTGCAAAAGTCAAGGGAAGCAGCAAAGAGGTGAAAAAAGAGAAACTTTCTGTTTCAGCTATGCTTGCTAGCATGGATCAGAAACCTGATAAAACAAAGAAGCCTACTTCTGCTAAACCCAAGGCAAAGGGCCCTAAGGTTTCATCTTATACTGATGGAATTGATCTCCCACCATCAGATGAGGAGGAGTATCCCTCCGAGGAAGAGCAAACTCAATCTAACAGACACCAGAGGCAGAGCTTGAAGCCGCTTGATACCTCCATAAGTGAAAAGGAATTGAAGAAGCGTGAAAAAAAGGAAGTGCTTGCTACCCAAGCTGTCGAGCAGGCAAAACAAGAGGCCCTTAAAGATGATCGTGATGCTTTCACTGTGGTTATTGGTAGTCGGGCTTCTGTCCTTGATGGTGAGGATGATGCAGATGCAAATGTCAAAGATATTACTGTAGACAATTTCTCAGTGTCGGCTCGTGGGAAAGAGCTTCTAAAGAATACCTCGGTTAAGATTTCCCATGGTAAAAGATATGGTTTGGTTGGACCAAATGGGATGGGGAAGTCTACTTTGTTAAAACTTCTTGCTTGGAGGAAGATTCCAGTCCCGAAAAATATTGATGTGCTCTTGGTTGAGCAGGAGGTGGTTGGTGACGATAGAACTGCCATTCAGGCAGTGGTTTCTGCAAATGAAGAGTTAGTTAGGCTTCGAGAAGAAGTTGCAGCTTTGCAAAATTCTTCCAATGGAGGAGAGGATGAAAGTGACCTCAATGGGGATGATACAGGAGAAAGACTTGCAGAACTGTATGAAAGGTTGCAGATATTGGGTTCGGATGCTGCTGAAGCTCAGGCATCAAAGATTCTTGCTGGGTTGGGTTTCACCAAAGAAATGCAAGGTCGTCCAACTCGGTCATTTAGTGGTGGCTGGAGGATGAGGATATCTTTGGCCAGGGCACTTTTTGTGCAACCAACACTTCTGTTGTTGGATGAGCCGACTAACCACCTTGATCTTAGGGCTGTTCTTTGGTTGGAGGAATATTTATTCCGGTGGAAGAAAACGCTGGTAGTTGTTTCCCACGATCGAGATTTTCTTAATACGGTTTGCACAGATATCATTCACCTACATGATATGAAGCTCCAATTCTACCGTGGGAACTTCGATGATTTTGAATCAGGGTATGAACAGCGTCGTAAAGAGATGAATAAGAAGTTTGAAATTTATGAGAAGCAGGTAAAAGCTGCAAAAAGGTCAGGGAATCGAGTTCAGCAGGAGAAGGTAAAAGATCGAGCCAAATTTGCAGCTGCAAAAGAAACAGCAAAGAACAAGGGAAAGGGCAAGGTTGACGAGGATGAACATCCAGCTGAGGCCCCGAAGAAGTGGAGAGATTACAGTGTTGAATTCCACTTCCCTGAGCCTACTGAATTGACACCTCCTCTTTTGCAGATAATAAATGTATGCTTCAGTTATCCTAATCGGGAGGACTTCAAACTCTCAGATGTTGATTTGGGTATTGATATGGGAACTCGAGTTGCCATTGTTGGGCCTAATGGAGCTGGTAAATCTACTCTCTTGAACCTTATTGCTGGTGATCTAGTTCCAACAGATGGTGAAGTACGAAGGAGCCAGAAGTTGAGGATTGGTAGGTATTCACAACACTTCGTAGATCTACTAACAATGGGGGAGACAGCAGTGCAGTATCTTCTTCGTCTTCATCCAGATCAAGAGGGACTCAGCAAACAGGAAGCTGTTCGAGCCAAACTTGGGAAGTTTGGACTTCCCAGTCATAACCACCTCACTCCAATTGCAAAATTATCTGGAGGGCAGAAAGCTCGAGTTGTTTTTACTTCAATTTCCATGTCTAAACCTCACATATTGCTATTGGATGAGCCTACAAACCATTTGGATATGCAAAGCATAGATGCCCTGGCTGAGGCATTAGATGAGTTCACTGGAGGAGTTGTCCTTGTAAGTCATGACTCGAGGCTGATATCACGTGTCTGTGAGGATGAAGAGAAGAGTCAAATTTGGGTAGTAGATAATGGGACCGTGAACACTTTTCCTGGTACTTTTGAAGACTACAAAGATGAGCTGCAAAGAGAGATTAGAGCAGAGGTCGATGATTGATGCTGTGGTTAAATTAGGTATTGATTTTCCCATAATATTTATATTTAGTCATATAAATGCATAGAGACCTGCAATTTTTCTTCATGTGTATTTTTCTGGAGAACATGTGAGTGTACACCTGTTTTTTGGTATTTATTTGGAATTTCAAGCTTGTTTGCCTATGAATTTGGTGCTGTGCACTAGTAGAAGTGCAAACTCGGCATTAGGTACTAAATTTTATTGAGCTACAAGATCCTTTTTCGGGATATTAGAACTATTATATTTTTTCAGAGAATCTATCACAATTACAGCTTAGCTTTTTTGTCATTTCCTGTTCTATAAGTTCATAGGTCAAAGTAGTTTCAATGATGGTGAAGTGGAGGTTCATATTTTCTGTTACTTTTTGTGTTTTACAGTGGGTAAAGAATGGACCGGCAATGCCCATTTAGGTAGCTTGAGATCTGTGTTTAGTGTTTGCATAGAAGGCTTTGAATCTGTGATTTGCATGTGTGTTGAAGTAGGCTGACAGCTTTTTGACTTTGCGCTTTGCAAATACAGCCTATAACATGATTTTGAGTTTGGATGTGCTTCAATGGGGCACCAGAGAAGCTCAAACATGTGTTGAAATGTTTGCATTGCATTTCCTTGCCATTCCGGTTAATTTGGTTTGCGTTTAATGAGATATTTGTGCTTGTAAGATATCCGGGGTTTTTGTTTGGGTAAGATATCCGATTTGTTTCAAAAGAAGGGGGAAAAAAACAAATTTGGTTAGGGCATTGTCGTTTAAGTTGTATTCTCCAGTGGCTTTGGGTATTAAGGAAGTTGGATTTAAGTGTTTGAATGTTAGAATCAAAGTAGTTTACCGTTAATTATTACTGAAAATTTTCAATTTCAATTTAATGAAAACTCATATTTTACTCTACCCTTAAATATAGTTAAGGAATTTATTGTTATCTCGGGTTCAAGCATTGCGTATGTAGTGGTATGAACATTCATTTGTTGAATAATTGAGTCTTTGAATAGATAATATCTTGTATTCACACATTTATTTAAAAAAAACCTACTCTTATTCTCTTCCATTGATAAGTATTCTATTATTAAAACTTATAAAGCCCTAGAACTAAATTTAAAAAAAAAACTGATACCATAAACCTTAGGAGTGTGAAATCAAGTAATTGTTTAGGTTTTAGTCCATCTTGTCAAGTCAGGTTAATTCGGATATAAATTGTGCCTGGTTAATTTAATGGTTTCATTCGGATTAGGTTAGGTCTATTTCAAATTAATTTGGGTCATTTTTAGGTTGATTTGAAATCAAAATTTCACTTCGGGTCGCTGTCAGTTCAGGTCTGAATCGGTTCAGGTATGAATCAATTAAATACTAGGTTAATTCAAGTTTGGATGGACTTCAGGTCGGATCTCGTTTAGATCGGGTCACATAATTGACATACAAAATTTAGTCTGGATCTTATTTGAAATGGATTGACTTCAGGTTGGGTCATTTTTAGGTTAATTATCTTTCGCCTTTCATGAACGAGGAATTGTAATTTAAAATCGTATATGATTTAGTGTAAAAGTGTTCGCAGTCGGTTTAAATCAATTTTTGGCTAAAAATTCATCCGATCCGAAAGTATAAATGTTTGTGGTTTGGATCGGTTTGGATGTTTCTAAAAAAATCAAATCCGATCCGATTAAGTGCGGCTTGATTCGGTTTGGATTTGTGCGGTTTTTGGATTCTAATTTTTTAAAATAATTCTTAATTTTTTTTCAAAAAAAAAGCAGCATATGTATAACAAAAAGCAAAGAAAATATATATTTTAACAAATGCAAGCTTGTGAAGCTTACAAAGAGAATATATATTTTAACAAATGCAAACTTGTGAAGTTTGCTCACATTAATAGTTCAGCAACCGTTTGTAGATGGAACCAAGATTTTTCATCTTTGGGCATAGATGAGTCCATTTATTTCCCTTTTGTAAATTCAATATTGCCAAGATACAAAATTGCAGCAACCACTCGAAATATTGCTTTCTGGACAGTGGTGGGGGACAAAATATTAAAGCATTGAAGCACAGTGTGCCTTCCATTTGGTCTTTGCATATGTCATTCTTTGTCAACCAAATACACAAAAGACAAATACACAAAAGACAGAGAAATCACCCAAAGCTAAAGACAAAATGAGGGCATCCTATAAAGATAGAGAAATCACATTCTAAAAATCAGAATTTGCACAATATAAAGTGCAATCAAATTAAGTCAATAAGTCCTGAAATTGTTCTAGTTATAACTACATATAAACTACTAAAAGTTGTGCAATTGTTCAAATTCAAAGCTTTCCAGAACAGCAACCCAAGCCACAAGCATCCATATTGCTACAAATCACAGTTTAGATAAAGAAAAAAATACAATGGACTTCAACATATTCCAAAACAACAACACTGCCAGCACATTCAAAACAACAACATGATCTAAAAATAGCTCCAAACAATAAATCCAAACAACAACTCCAAACAACATAACAGTAGCTCCAAACAGCATCAGCTCCAAACAGCAACATAATCTCAAACAACTCCAAACAACATGATCCAAAGTCCGCTTAAAGAAGGACATCCAATTAAAAAAATAATCAATATATCTATTATTAAGAAAAACATACAATTAAAAATATAATACCAAATCAACAATTAATCAGACTCCGCATCAGATTGCTCTTCATTTAGTTGCGGGATTGGGGCAAAATCTTCAAATATTTAAAATATAAGCATTGTCGTTTAAGTTGTATTCTCCAGTGGCTTTGGGTATTAAGGAAGTTGGATTTAAGTGTTTGAATGTTAGAATCAAAGTAGTTTACCGTTAATTATTACTGAAAATTTTCAATTTCAATTTAATGAAAACTCATATTTTACTCTACCCTTAAATATAGTTAAGGAATTTATTGTTATCTTGAGCCTCGGGTTCAACCATTGCGTATGTAGTGGTATGAACATTCATTTGTTGAATAGTTGAGTCTTTGAATAGATAATATCTTATATTCACACATATTTATTTAAAAAAAAACTACTCTTATTCTCTTCCATTGATAAGTATTCTATTATAAAAACTTATAAAGCCCTAGAATTAAATTAAAAAAAAAAACTGATACCATAAACCTTAAGAGTGTGAAATCAAGTAATTGTTTAGGTTTTAGTCCATCTTGTCAAGTCAGGTTAATTCAGATATAAATTGTGCATGGTTAATTTAATGGTTTCATTCGGATTAGGTTAGGTCTATGTCAAATCAATTTGAGTCATTTTTAGGTTGATTTGAAATCAAAATTTTAGTTCGGGTCGCTGTCAGTTCAGGTCTGAATCGGTTCAGGTATGAATCAGTTAAATACTAGGTTAATTCAAGTTTGGATGGACTTCAGGTCGAATCTCGTTTAGATCGGGTCACATAATTGACATACAAAATTTAGTCTGGATCTTATTTGAAATGGATTGACTTCAGGTTGGGTCATTTTTAGGTTAATTATATTTCGCCTTTCACGAACGAGGAATTGTAATTTAAAATCGTATATGATTTAGTGTAAGAGTGTTCGCGGTCGGTTTGAATCAATTTTTGGCTAAAAATTCATCCGATCTGAAAGTATAAATGTTTGTGGTTTGGATCGGTTTGGATGTTTCTAAAAAAAATCAAATCCGATCCAATTAAGTGCGGCTTGATTCAGTTTGGATTTGTGCGGTTTTTGGATTCTAATTTTTTAAAATAATTCTTAATTTTTTTTTCATAAAAAAGCAGCTATGTATAACAAAAAGCAAAGAAAATATATATTTTAACAAATGTAAGCTTGTGAAGCTTACAAAGAGAATATATATTTTAACAAATGCAAACTTGTGAAGTTTGCTCACATTAATAGTTCAGCAACAGTTTGTAGATGGAACCAAGATTTTTCATCTTTGGGCATAGATGAGTCCATTTATTTCCCTTTTGTAAATTCAATATTGCCAAGATACAAAATTACAGCAACCACTCGAAATATTGCTTTCTGGACAGTGGTGGGGGACAAAATATTAATGCATTGAAGCAAAGTGTGCCTTCCATTTGGTCTTTGCATATGTCATTCTTTGTCAACCAAATACACAAAAGACAAATACACAAAAGACAGAGAAATCACCAAAGCTAAAGACAAAATGAGGGCACCCTATAAAGATAGAGAAATCACATTCTAAAAATCAGAATTTGCACAATATAAAGTGCAATCAAATTAAGTCAATAAGTCCTGAAATTGTTCTAGTTATAACTTCATAGAAACTACTAAAAGTTGTGCAATTGTTCAAATTCAAAGCATTCCAGAACAGCAACCCAAGCCACAAGCATCCATATTGCTACAAATCACAGTTTAGATAAAGAAAAAAATACAATGGCCTTCAACATATTCCAAAACATCAACACTGCCAGCACATTCAAAACAACAACATGATCTAAAAACAGCTCCAAACAGCAAATCCAAACAACAACTCCAAATAGCATAACAGTAGCTCCAAACAGCATCAGCTCCAAACAGCAACATGATCTCAAACAACTCCAAACAACATGATCCAAAGTCCAGTTAAAGAAGGACATCCAATTAAAAAAATAATCAATATATCTATTATTAAGAAAAACATACAATTAAAAATATAATACTAAATCAACAATTAATCAGACTCCGCATCAGATTGCTCTTCATTTAATTACGGGATTGGGGCAAAATCTACAAATATTTAAAATATAAGCATTGTCGTTTAAGTTGTATTCTCCAGTGGCTTTGGGTATTAAGGAAGTTGGATTTAAGTGTTTGAATATTAGAATCAAAGTAGTTTACCGTTATTTATTACTGAAAATTTTCAATTTCAATTTAATGAAAACTCATATTTTACTCTACCCTTAAATATAGTTAAGAAATTTATTGTTATATTGAGCCTCAGGTTCAAGCATTGCGTATGTAGTGGTATTAACATTCATTTGTTGAATAATTGAGTCTTTGAATAGATAATATCTTGTATTCACACATATTTATTTTTAAAAAAACCCTACTCTTATTCTCTTCCATTGATAAGTATTCTATTATAAAAACTTATAAAGCC